AGATTTAACAGCAACAAAAAAGAAGAGGTAGGAAACCATGAGAAGGTCTGGGCAACTGAAGTAGCCAGAGTGGCCTACTCACAGGCCAAGAAGTGAGCGGTTAATACATCCCCCGACCCATCCCTCGAGTGCCGGGGTCCACTTGCAGTTCCACCGGCTCCTCTGCGTCCTGGCAGACCTGGGCAGAAAGCACTGATGACTCAAGTGGGAGTCCTGGATTGAGCTCAAGGCTCCTGGCTTCAGTGCAGATCAGTCCCGCCTGTTGCAGGCATATGGGGGAGTGAACGAGCTAATGGGATCTCTCTCTTTCTGCCTCTCAAAGAAATAGATTAAAACTAACTTGAAAATAAAAGGCTGTGGGGGACAGTGAAGGAGGAGAGCAGCAGACAGCAGCCAGGTCACAGAGGATGTGTTAGGCCTCCGTGAGGATTCGAGCATGAGTGAATCTGCGGACTCTACCCATCATGGAGATTCTATTTTTTTTTATTTTAAGAGGGACCTGCCAACCACATCAGGTAGTATTTTGGCTTGCAGGACAAATACCCAGGACTTGCAGGTGAGGCTGGCTCTGAGATGGACATAGGTGGAGAAGGACCAAGCGGTTGGGCAGCAGCAGTTACAGTGCTGGTGGCACTCATCTCTTCTGGGTCAGATTCCACCTGTCCTTGGACTTAATCTGTATCACAGAGGATGCCTGACAGAGACCGTGACCCTCCTAGCCATGAATGCACAAACAACAGAATGGTCAAGTTGGCCGGCTGGGTATATCTGCCCCTGGTGGCCACAATGCAATCCACAAGTTTGCTATTCTCCAGAAAAGGCTTTGAGCTTCAGGTTCTTGTTCCTGGTGTCAGCCTGACCCCCAGGTGCTGGCCTCCTCCAGGAAATTGTATCTTCTGAGTGAATTGGGTGTAATGACAATGGTGCCTCTATATAAATGAACATTGCCTTTATAGCAAGTGAGAGTGAAACAGCCCATGGAGATCCCTACAAACCTCTCCTTGGGGCTCCCCAGGCATCTTGAGCTTCCACACCCCTGTGCTTACATAATTACAGGTTTAACTGCCTTCCTGGTACAAACACGGGGAATGGGGCGTGCTGTGTCTTGCTTAATGCACTAACTCCAGTGCTTCGTACAGTGCTGTGTCTTGCTTAATGCACTAACTCCAGTGCCTCGTACAGTGACGAGACCCCAACACAGTCCACATGTTGCAATTACTCAGTGTGACTGAAGGCTTTTATACGCTCTAGGCAGTAGTTGAGGGAGCTTTTAACTTGGTAAGTCAGATGATCCACTGCAGATGAACCTGTATCAGTGGATGCAGAAGCCACCATAAAATACCTTATTGTCTCTGGAATTCTGGCACCCCTGAGGGAGCACTCTGTGGGATCCAGGCCTTTCTCAGCTCCTGGCAGTATCAAAGTAGAGAACCACCCTCCTCCCATGTCCACCAAGTCCCCAGAGGCAACACGTAGCCCAGTGCCACAGCATGGGTTAGGAAACAAAGAGTAAACTTACATTCCAGAAAGCCAGGGGGACTTTCCTCTAGAAGAGAGAAGCAGGCCTGCTGCAGACCCTAGGTTGTGTCATTCCCACTGCATTTGTGCGTCCTGCCCCTAGTCTGACACCACACAGGACTGCCCCATGCACCCTCTGATGGAGAAATTCCCGGCAGAGAAATTCATCTACCAGCAGATCAAAATCAGTGAGGTTTACTGGACACTTAGAATGGGCCAGGCCCTGTGTGAAATCATTTAAATAGATTATCTTACCCCTAACAACTCTATGAGTGAGCAATAGCAGTACTGCCCTGGTTTTGAGAAATGATGAAGCCACAGGCCTGAGTACCGGGGTCAGAGGGCCCCTCCCGAGATTCCCGAGACGGGACTGCTGGCAAAAGCAACAGCAACTGCCAGAACTTTGCAAACTGCACCAGGCTACATTCCCACTTCCTTCTCTACCACCTGAAGACCTGGCAAACACCCAGAGACTACACCACTGTGGTTTCTTTAGTGGCTGATAAAGACTTATTTCAAATGAGTCATTTCCTTCAAAAGGGAGGGGGAAATGTGTTTAGATTTTAGCAGAAATGCTCACCTCCACCCCAGACTCACACCCAAACCCACTCCCTGTTCTTACTCAGCACCCCAAGCCCTGTGCCAGGAAGCGTCCATCTCGGACAGACCTTAGCACAGCTGCATCAGCCTCCAGTGGCGCAGGCACCTGAGGTCACACTCGGCCCCCAGGGAAGGGGACACTGACTAGGCCCGTGCCCTTAGCAAGGCTGGGCCTCTTGTTTCCTATCCAGTGACAGGAGCCAACTTGCCTCCTCGGACGTTCGCCACCTCTGGTGTCCTCATTTACTGGGTGGGGCTTTCCCTGTCTCGTTTGGTCTGCCCTCCTTCCCACCCAGTTTCTTTCCTCTCTGTCTTTAGCTTGCTCTTTTCCTTGCTCCCCAGTCATTCATCACGCCTTCATCCATTCTGTCTTCTCCTTATTGGTTCTCTGGCCTGGAGGCCCGCACTTCCAGTTTGTCTCTTTTTTGACTGGCTTCCTTGCCATGAAAATCCGACTGTTGAGCTGAGCCATTTGCATGTCCTTCCCTGACCCATTCCAAAATTGGAGCGGATTCCATTTGGATGTTTCCTGACAATTAAGTGATGTGCAATAACATTTGTTTGCTTAACAACTTATTGCGGTTTAATTACATACAATAAAGGTTAACCATTTTAAGTATTCGATTCACTGACCTGGCAGATAGATACAGAATGTACTTGCTGTTAAAAATCAGGTCAGAGGACATTTACACCACCTCAGAAAGTTTTCTTGTGTCCCTTTGCAGTTAATCCTCTCCCCATCCAAGTTCTTGGCAATCCTTACTCTGTTTTGACACCACCATAGTTTTGGATTTGGGGAAGGGTTCAGTTTTATATAAATGATCTTGTAAAAAGTACATAGTCTTTTGTGTCTACTTACTATAGATGATATTATTGAAATTCATTCTTATCATTGCATGCATTCCTGAGGAGTATTCCACTGTGGTCGTATCACCATGTACTGCCTTGCCAATTGGCTGGCATTTTCCAGTCTTAAGACTGAATACAGTTGCTACAAACATCCACATACAAGTCATTGTATGGCCATATGGTTCTAGTTTTCTTGGACTGTTATGTGCTACATATTTGTTCAAAAGAATTCATCAACCTGCTTTCCAACGTAGTTGAAGCATCTTGTATCCCAACCACAGGTGTATCAGAACTCCAGTTGCTCCACAGTCTCTCCAACATGTGGTATGGGTAGTGTTTTTGACTTTTGCCATTTTCCGAGATGTATGGTAGCATCTCATGGGGACTTGTGTTTTCCCTGTGTTTTCTGGCTATTCTGTGTAGCCGATTTTGTGGTGTCCTTTGCCCATTTCCTGGGTGGGTGTGTCTCTCTCCTCTCTCCTTTCTCCTGCTGTCACTCCGGACCATCTTTCCTGTTTGACTCCACCTGTGCTCAGGGTCGTCTTCCATCTGCTCTTCTTTGCCTCTTTCCTCCTGGTTTGCATGTTCTCCCTTCTCTTTTCCTCCAGAATACATCAAAAAAGAAAGCCTAAAAACCCATTCCATATTAGAAATGGCTCCACCACAAGCCCACCAACCTCTGTTCTGGCCCGGGTCAGGGGAGAAAAGACCACCCCCCCTTCCCGAATGAAGGTGCAGAGAAGTAAAAAGACAGAGTCTGGTATCATGGGGAGCTGGCTTTTCATGCCAGCACTTCGCTGTGCCCTAAGTGATTAATGGTGTTTATGCATAGAAGTGCTTTTTATTTAAGCAACACTGGAAAATGGAGACTGGTAAATGAAACTGGTCCTGCTCAGCAGCAGCACAGCAGCCTCCCCAAATGTAAGATAAGTTGTGTGTAACAAGGTGCTTCCCAGGCACATCTCCTGAGTTCAGAAGGGGTTACTCTGCCCAATCTCAAGGAAGGTACAGCTCAGCCCTAAGCCCGCTCCTTTTCATGTCTGTTTGCAGGAACCAGGGTAATGACATTTGATTACTAACTCAGAACACTTAATGAAATATAATACCTTGGATGGGTGATTCTAGAATGATTTTTAAGAGCTTTATTGAGATATAATTCACCTACCATACAATCTACCCACCAAAGGGGTACAATTCTATGGGTTTTAGTTTGTACGCAGGTAAACGTAGCTGTAACTGGAATTTTCTGACAATTATCAGTTCCAAAACAAAGCCATATCATCCCCATATTCCTCTGTCCCCTCAACCATGGCAACTACTGATTTTCTTTCTGTGTCTAGTGTTAACCAATTCTAGACAATTCACATAAACAAAATCAAACAGTGTATAATGTTTTATGTCTGGTTTCTTTCATTTAGTAAAATGTATGGAAGGTTCATCAGATTTTTTGTATATATCAACATTTCATTCTTCTTATGGCTGGGTAATAATATCCCATTGTACAGGATATCCCAGATTTTTATTCATTCATAGGCTGATAGGCATTTGGGTTGTTTATACCTTTTGCTATTAATAGCACCATTGTCAATGTTCATCTGTAAGTTTTTGTGTATATGTGCATCTGCATTCTCCTGATGTATATACTATAGATTCGAGTACTATAGATCCAACTACTAGATCTTATATAAATCCTGTGCCAAATCATTAGAGGAATTGCAGACTATTTTCCAAAGGAGCTATATCATTTTACATTCCAACCAACAATGCCCTGTTGACTGCAAATTGGACAGCTCTTCCTAAGCAGCCTGTAGGAACACAGCTCTGGCACTCTCCCCCAGCAGGACACGCATCAGTCTGTCACTGCCCTGTTCTGACCATAGCCACACACCACAGAGAAGATGCATGGTGGGTGGTGCTGGGTGTGGCTCTTGATTTTCAGCTGTATCAGGCCTTTCTGCAGCAGTCCTGCTTACTATGGGCCTGACTTGTGCCATTCACTGGTTGTGCTTGTCTTTTTTTGTCTGTCTGTGCAGGTCAGCACTTACCAGTCCACGCCTGGCTCCCCGGGGCATTCCCCAGCCGTGGTCGGTCAACCTGGCTCCCAGCAACACCTCCCAGCCAACCTGTGAGTAAAAACTCAGCCCTTCCCCCAACATCCTGGCATAGGGCTCTGCCTTGCCAATCTCATGCCATTGAGCCTCCTCGTTACCACACCATCTGGCACAAGGCGACAACTCCCCTTCCTTTTCTACTGGAAGAAATCATGCTAACTCTCTCTCTCTCTCTCTCTCTCTCTCTCTCTCTCTCTCTCTCTCTCTCTCTCTCTCACACACACACACACAAACACACACATTAGCAGGCCACACAAGTGTAGCTCATCATTTTACAAAAGTAGAAAGACACTGGGAAATTTCAAGCTGCTTCATCTCTGGGAGATCAGGGCTGAATGATCTCTATTGTCAGCCTTTACATTCAAAATTCCAGGCCATAAATAGATGTTGCTTTAGTAATCAGAAAAAAAAAATACAGTGTTTTAGGTAAGAAAGAACAGAACATGTAGATGAGAGTACTAGCCTGGTACTGAGTCATTCAATTAGCAAGCTGAAGGATCTGCTAATGTCTAACCTGAGGGCCGGGCACTGGGGACCTCTCAATAAGGCAAGCTTAAGTGGCATATTTCATTATATCTTTAGGCACATAGAGATCCTCACTATTCCCTTTTATTTTCACCCTGGCAGACCCGGGCCCTACCTGCCCGATGCCAGGGTGTAGAATTCAGAATAAGTCCAGTTAGGGCTCTGTGCTAACCCAAGAACATTTATGCAATGTTGCAAGCCCATTCTGCTCCAGCTACTGTGAAGCCGGATTCCATTGTGTGTCTCCAACCTCCCACATCCCCACCAGCAAAAAAAAAAAAAAATAATAATAATAATAATTTACGCTGCCTCCTGCTTCTCAATGTCCTTTTCATTGCTTGTAGTGAGCAAGCTGCTTAGGCCACTCCTGGGCGTCCAACCTGTCCCTCTCTCAGGAGAGTGCATGAGAGAAGGTTCAGAAGGTTCTCTGCTGACTTCGCTTTTCCCTGAACCTTACTGGCCACAGACAAAAAAAAAAAAAAAAAAAAAAACAGCCTGAGAAAAGCCATCCTTTCTAGGACTGACACCCAACCCTGCCTCTGCTTCTTCCTAGTTGGGAGTTTCCATGGTGGCCTACATTTGTGATTTGCACCTGAGTCGGGCTGGCTGCAAGGAGTGGACGGGAGGTCAACAAGATAGGGAGTGGCTGCCTTAGCTGCCCCCGTTGCTCTTTCAACCAGATTCTTCACTGTTACAAGCCCTACATGACAAAGCTTCCATTTTGCACAGGCTTTTGTCGCTGACCACTGGGTTGCTGGGCTCAGAGAGTCTACCTCCTCCTGCCAGGCATCTTCACTTCTTCCCTCACTAGCTTCTTTCGTTCCCCCCAGGTTTGTAGCCATGCACTCATACTCGGCCCACGGACCTGAAGAGCTGGACCTGCAGAAGGGAGAAGGTGTCAGGGTCCTGGGGAAGTACCAGGACGGCTGGCTGAGGGGCATCTCCTTGGTCACCGGGCGAGTGGGCATCTTCCCCAACCATTACGTCATTCCTATTTTCAGGTGTGTCTCCGCTTGTGTCAGGCCCTGGAGGTTGGATCATGCTGAGCCAGGAGCCATGTGGGGTAGAACTGATGGAGGACTCATGGCCCTTTCAGCAGCTTTGACCCCAGCACTTCCCAGTCAAGAAAATGTAGCAGAAGGGGTTGCTCTTCTCAAGTTCTTCACAGTTTGTAAGCATGTCGTGTCTTTTAACTCATTGGCTTTGCCCAAGATTACTACATAGTAGATAGTACTTTACAGATAAGGAAACATGACATAATTAAGCCATTTACTCAAGAAAGAGATTTTTCTCCTACACAGATCCCAGAAATCAACTTCACATCACTGACATTGTCTAGTGGCCCAATGGGAAATGTGACCTCACTGGACCACCAAACAAACTTTTCAGGAGGCCAGACCAAGAAGCAAAGTTCCCATGAACTCCAACCTTTATCTGAAAATCAAATACTAGCTACCTGCAGTTTCTCCTCCTTCATAGCTTTTCCCAACACCTCTCAGTCAGTGGTACAGACATTCAATTTCCAAGACCCATAGCTTACCCTGCCACCCTACACACCCACATCCACCCCCATCAGCCCAGGGAGAGCCACAAGGCAGTGGAGCCATTACAACACACATCAAAAGCTACCTTTATGACATACCCCAGGGTCACAACTCCAAGGAGAGGGACTGTGACACGCCCACGCTGGGGGCCCCTCATTAAGGCAGGGCACTGTGTCCGGAGGAGGGCAGCAAGGATGGTAAGGAGACCACAAATGAAATAATTTGGGAAATGATTAAGAAACTGGGTTTTTTTTCATCTGTAAGTAGACAGGGGTGAGAGGCATTGGAACAGACCCTGTGGAGTGGGAAGGAGATCTGTTGTAGAAAGGGGCAATGGGGTGTATCCGAAGATACAGCTCAGAAGGTTTGGGTTCCACAAAACGCTGCATTTTCTAACCCATAGGTATCTCCAGCCAGAATGGCTGGTGAGGTGGTAGAGTCCCTTTCTAGGAATCTGGTTTCTTACAGAATCACAGTGGTGGAGAAAGATTTCCTCACATGGCAGGAAGTACAGATATAAACAGGTGTACTTCAAAACTTTCCATGGAACCTTGGAATTTAAAGACAAGTTTATATCGGGGTGGGTGTCTTGGCACAGTGGCATCCCTTATCAGAGTGAAGTCCCAGCTACTACACCTTCCAGTCTAGCTCCTTGATAATGCGTGTGGGAAAGTAGAAAGGATGGCCCACATGCATAAGTTCCTGTTACATATTTGGAAGGCCCAAATGGTGTTCCTGGCTCCTGGAAACTTCAGCCTGGCCCAGCCCCTGCTATTGCAGGCTTTTGGGGAATGTGCCAATAGATGAAAGATGCTTGTTACTCGCTGCAATTCTGCCTTTCAGATAAATTTTTAAGAACAGTATATTTTGATGCAAAAATTCACAAATAGTTTTCTCATGTACTTTATGATTTTTTTTGAAGACCACTCACATGCAAAGATTAAATTTTTATACCAAAGTACACTTTTTAATGATGTTTTCCACAAACTTTGTAAAGTAGCCTCATGTAATCTATATGGTGTGTTAAGGATATGGACTAGGAAGAAAAATCAGACAGGGGTGATAGAATCTGGATGGAGTGGTTAACGTTTTAGATACACTGGTCATCTGTGGCATTACCAAGAATCCAGAAAGAATCACATAGTGTCTTGAGGGAAATGTTGTCCCCAGGGCAAAGGAACTGCGATGTGAAGGCCCTGGTGTAGGAATGTGTCTGACTTGAAGGCCAGTAGATTTGGATTATAGCAAATGAAGTGGAGATTCATACATGACGTCAGAATCAAGAGGATTGAGGGCAGATCCTACCCAATGTTCCCAGATCATAATGAGATTGACAGTTTTGCACTAAACAGTGACATGATCCAACTTAAGTTTAACCAGAATTACTCTAGTTGTTGGGCTGAGTGTAAGCCATAAACTAGGGAAGAAAAGGTGGAAACAGAGAAGCTAGTTAAGAGGATATTGTAATGATCTTTGGAAGAAGTGACAGTGAACTGAACTATGATGGTGGTAGAATGTGTTAGGTTCTGACACAGCCTGCGGTTAGATACAACAGGAAAGAATAGAGAAATCAAGGTGAGTCCAAGATTTGTTTTGAGTATCTAAATGACAGAGCTACCTTTTACTGAAATGGTGACTATGAAAGACCCGAGAAGAGGGGAACATATGAGGTATGAGGGGAAGTAAAAGCTGAGGGTGCCACAGGTCAGTCGGAGATTCCTCTTAGTCGTTAGGTCGAGAAGTTCATGACTATCCAAGCACACAGGTGCAGCATTTGAGAGAGAGCTCTGAACTTGACATGATGTTTAAAACCCAGAGATGAGATCACTTCTATTAAGATCAGTTATATCCATAGACTTATCAGAAACTAAAACCTTCAAGGAATGAGAAGAGTGACCCAGTGTGTAAATGGTAACTACAGTCAGGAGGGGTGGTGGGAGCTAGAGTCTGACAATCTGGGGCAAAACTGGGAAGTACTGCAGAAGGTAGAGAAAGGTCTAGAAGCGACAGAAGCAAGAGAACCCATCTGGTCTCACGAGAATCTCCTTCCATAGACTCCAACTTGAATTCTCAGGTAGGGCGTTTGCTTAGACATTGCACCTTAGCCCAAACTCCTGGTTTTCAAAGAACCATTAGTATAAAGACGGACCATATATTTTATCAAACTAACATATTTTAAACCAGGAGTGAACTGAACTAAAACTATCTAAGAGAAACCAGGACATGTGATCGCTTTAACAGCAACACATATAGAATTCCATTCCAGCGTGGTGGGGGATTATGGTAGGGTACTCTTAAAAAGGAAAGGTGAAATTAAAAGACAAGTTTATTTTGTAAACTTTGTGTAATGAAAAATAGGAAACCCATGCATAGTTCCTTCATTATATACATTTTCCATGAATCCTTTAAAGATCCCTTCTTTTCATGAATTTCAAAATTTTGTGCAGAAAAAGAAACATTTTCAATCCCATTTTCCCACAGACTATTTGAAGTATACTTGTATTTCAAGGCCCTTGCTTTGATTTCTCCCTTTGGCTTTTTTCTTGGGTAGATCTACTGCATTCTGGGGCAAGTCATGAACATGTCAACTCCCTACCTGGGGTGGAATGTCAGCATCACAGTTCCCAATGAGTCGAGCCCTTGCTCCCAGCTCATAGAACTCTGAAGACACCCATGTACTGCAGTGCTACTAATGTAGAGACACATCTAAGTATGGGAACTTATGCTCCCTGTCAGAGCATTGTATGTTCCTGCAAGTGATAGATCAGAGTCTGTGATTTCTCAGTGTTGCTGTGTTCTCTCTGATGATCTCTCTGACGCAAATAAAGTTCCTGTCCACTTGGATGTGAGCAATCATGCCAGACTGGTTCATGTAGATAAAGCTAACATTAGTTCCTCTTTTTTTTTTTTTTAAGATTTATTTGTTTGAAGGTCAGAGTTACAGAGGAGGAAAAGGTAGATAGGAAAAGGGGGAGGGGGAGAGGGAAAGAGAGAGAGACCTTTCATATACCGGTTCGCTCCCCAAATAGCCACAGTGGCCATGGCAGGGCCAAGTCGATGTCAAGGAACTTTAGGCTCCATCTAAGTCTCCTACTCACATGCAGGGATCCCATCACTCGGGCCCTCTACCACTTTCCCAGATATATTAGCAAGTGGCTAATCAGAGCAGGATCAGAGGTAGAGCACCTGGGACTCCAACTTACACTCTTACATGATTCTGGCATTGCAGGAATTGAAGCAGTAGCTTAACCATAATGCCAGTCACAAACTAGCCCTTGTTCTTAACTTCCTTTTCCATCATGGGAAACTCAGTTCTCCCTGTTTCTTAGGGTTGAAAAGTGCTGTTTGTGAGCTGCATTTCTGTTATGTGTAAGAATATACCATTTCTGTGACCATTAAGGGTTACGAGTAAGAATATATAAGAGTGAACTGTTCTACATGTGCAAACTCCTCTTTTGTTTTTAAAGTCTTTGTATTTGGGATTTTTTTTTATCCTTCCAAGTGTTTTCTGTTTCCAATAATGGCTCTCCACTGCCACCCAGTCCCCTGTTGTATAATGCACCCTTTTATGCAATACTCCAAGGCAGCAGATGCCGGCTGAGTGTATTTAGCCATAGAATAGAATGTATGAAAACACCAAGTTAAGATTTAAGAATCAGCAAGTGATCTATTACCTGCAAAGACTGTAGTCCCTGCTCTGGCCCTGCTTGCTAGCAATGACACCAACATGACCAGCTTCTGTTAACCACAGCTTAATCTCCGCCCCCAAGATGCCTCTTTTCCGATCCTGAGGGCATTCACTGGCTCAGGTCATACCAAACATTTCTTAAGTTCCCATCTGTCCATCATACAGTTTCTTCACAGCATCCATATTCTTTTGGGTCTCTTGGTAGATGTGTCCTGTTGGTGGCAGGCAGACACTTCTGCCTTCCTCCTTCACTTGCTAACTCCATCCCCGCAGGCTCAGCCAATCTTGCACTTCCTCTATGACTGAAACCTGAGCAAGTGCAGAGAGGCTGGGGGTGGAGTGAAGACCACTCTCGTGAGAAGAGTCCCAGCCATATCCTCTGCTCTTCTCTTCCCAAGCTCTTGGAGCCTCCTTGGATCCTGGGCCTTCTCCTCTCCCTCCTGTCTTCCCAACAAACTCCCTTCTGCCCAACCATCCAGGATATCGCTCCTTCTTGTAGCCTTTGTGGCACATATACCCACAATGGCTGTCTTTTTGGTGGAGAAAAGTAACAAATGGGTCTCTCTTCATATGCCATTAACTCTACACAGCCTATGTCAAGACTGTCAAGGTCCAAACTTTCTCCTCAGCAGGAGTTTACTGCCAGTGGCGAGCAGACTAGAGCTGTTGCTTGTTGAGTTCCTTACAAGCCTGGACAAGTTCTTAAGGGTTAATAATCCAGATAAAGCAAAGGCTGTGGGAACCTACACTGTGGAGTAAATGAGAAGCAACATTCTCACTGAAGCTCAGAGTGTCTTTCAAGCTCCCCATCTGGAAAAAAGGGTCCTAATGTCTGCAGATCTGGGTGTCACAAGGATTAGCTAATGTATGTTATCAAAGCACTTTGATGTTGGAAGAAAATACTAAATACGTGCTGAGCCTTCACCAAATGACATAAAGGGGCTCTGTGTTAAACAGACATGGGAGTTGCGATTTACAAGTTCCTGGACTCCAGTCCAGTGTTGGGTTCGGAGAAATGAGATCCATCTCAATCTAGAGTCAGGCAAAGAAGGGACCGTAAGGATCAGGCTGGTTTGGGCCTAACTAGCTGCATTCTATCCTTGCTACTGCTACCACTGGAAACTATTTTTATAACCTGTCTTTCCCACCGCTAATCCTCTTTCGGCATCTAACACCCTGAGGCCTCAGTTCAAAGGATAGGAAGTTCTCTGTATCCATCCAGGGAAAGGAGGACTGGGGATTTTTCTCCACTACCCACGCCTTCCACTCTTCTTCACTAACTGCACCAGCACAAGGACCAGAGGCAGACGGACCGCTAAGGACGGAAGAGCCCTTGCTGCAGGCACGTTCCTAGAGCATCTGACTACATGACTCAGAAAATTTCATGAAAAATACACATGAGAAAACTATGCATACATTTTATTGATTTTTAAAGATTTATTTTTTTCTTTGACTTGAAGTCACTTACAGAGAGAGAGGGGAAGAGACAGAAACAAACAGATCCTCCATCCAGTGATTCACTCCCCAAACAGTCACTATGGCTAGAGTTGAACTGGTTGAAAACCAGGAGCTTCTTCTGGATCTCCCACATGAGCCCAGGGGCTCAACACCTTGAGTCATTCTCAGTTCTTTCCCCAGGGCATAAGCAGAGGGCTGGATCAGAAGTGGAGCAGCCAGCACACAAACCAGAGCCCATATGGGAGGCCAGGGCCATGAGTGAAGGATTAGCCTATATGTCACCACATTGGCCCTATATTTCAATTTCTGTGCCAAATAGACATCTCTTCGTTCCATTTTTTTTCATGAATCCTATGAAGTACTACAACGGCTTTACCTGTCTTCACACAAGACTGCCTCATTATTAAACTGCACATCTCTCCACCCCTTTTTTAATCAAAAGATGGAAAGAACAAAAGAGGAAGGATGATCCAAAGAAATATCTGGAGGTTTTGATAGAAAAAAACAACACAGGCATCTCTATGCTAGGACCTTGGCTGAGTTCACTGCTCCCATGGGAATCAGCAAAGGCTCCTTAATCAACAGAGTGACAGAGTGATTGATGGGCTGTTTGGTAGGAGATGTGATGTTGGGGTTGGATTGGTAAAACAGTAAGAAAAGCATGTAGAATGACAGGTACTCACCATGTAGTACAGGGAACCGCAGGCTGGGAACAACGGCCAAAGGTTTGTTGTTTTATACAGCCTTAATACTGTTCTTGAAAATCACAATCCAAGGTTGAAGGTTTAGGGTCTTATTTGTAGGGTTTCACTTTGTGTTGGGCAGAATGAAGAGTATTTCCTAATACCCAAATATGATCACTATGTAGGTAGCTCAGTGGGAAAAACAAAGGGCCAGCATAGCCTGGTTTAAATACTCTGTCTGGTAGCTACTTTAGGTGGCAACTGTAAGACTCGGTAGTTTAGCCTAGAAAACAGTGGCATTATAAGTACCCACCTCAAAAGGGTGATGAAGATAAAGTAACATAAAATAGGAAAAGCACTTGGCTGGTGCTGGGCACACAGTGTCTAGTATGCATTAGACAAAAGGACTAGCATTGGTGCTGCAAAGTGTTAGAGCAGCCATACAACATCAAGTCATCAACAGCACATGCAGAACACAGAGCATCAAAAGAGCAAGTCATGTGTCTGCCTCCACAAAGCTTGGATTCTAGTGAGGACATCTCAGAGTGACCAGGAAATTGCCTCCACAAGATAAAACGAGCACATCTGAGATCTCATGCTCAGAAGGCAGGACAGAAAGGACATGGTATGAGGAGTGAATGATGGCAATAAGCAACCCTAGCTCTACCAGGGCCTCACTGTGAGCCCCTCACTCTGCTCTCAGCACACCTGCGCACTTGCCAGGGTGGAGGCATGTAGGCCCACCTACATCTGTAGTGGACAAAAAAAGAGTGTGTATGAGTGGAAGAAGGGGAGGATTAATTGCATTTGAGATATGGTTGGAAAATTATGGTTTGCTGATTTCCTTGTTTTAGATTGTTTTGTTTGAAATGCAGACAACAAAAAGTAGAGAGATCTTCCATCCACTGGTTCATTCCCCCAGATGGCCACAATTGTTAGGACTAGGCCAGGGCGGAGCCAGGAACTGCTGCCAGGTCTCCCGCATGGATGTGCAGGGGGCCCTGCATTTGGGCCATCCTTCACTGCTTTCTCAGGTCACTAGCAGAAAGCTGGATCACAAGTAGAGCAACTGGGATTCAAACCAGTGCCCATATGAGATGCCAGAGCTGCAGGTGCCAGCTTAAACCCACTATCACATAATGCCAACCCCTTAAAGTACTTCTCTTAACATTTTTCTTTTTCTATTTCTTTGCTTTTCAATGTCCAACACACAGCAAGACCTCTAGTTTCCCTGACTCCCGGAATCCTGGTCTCTACGCCACATGGACATTATCCACCTCTTCTGTGCCCTCGCAAGGCAGCGTTTCAGAAGGTGACCCCCGGCAGAGCCGACCCTTCAAGTCTGTCTTTGTGCCCACCGCTGTGGTCAGCCCTATAAGGAGCACAGCAGGCGCAGGGATTTCAGGACAAGGGTCTCTTCGGAAAGGGCGGAGCAGCATGAGAAAGAGTAAGTGGTGGCAAAGAGGTATGTGCCTAGTGATAAGTGATGAGGGTTCCACCCCAGGCACAGACAGAGCTTTTCACACATGGGCCTCTACAGGGGAAGGGTGGGGGGGTGTCAAATTTCCAAATGATGAGCTGGCTTATTGTGTGAAGCCAGACAGCCCCAAAGTCGTAGTCCTGGGTCCCTGCATACAGGCTGAATGACAGATGACAACAGTCTCGAGTGTCCTTGGTATTGAGAACACACCCAAGGCTCATCGGCCTGGCCGGTTCCCACTGCAGCAGAGCAGCCAAGGTACTTGCTGAGTCTGTGCTGCTCAAACAGCACTCCATAGAATCCCACAGGAGAAACAGGGGAAGTAGGGAAGCGAGGAGGGACAGCTTTAGGGCACAGGACGTGAGTGGAAAATAAAAATTAAGAGTTGTCAACAAAGACGATCCCTAGTGTTAGGTAACAATGCAAGAGCACAGAATGTACAAAATCCAGTCTCCCTCACAGCCTTCACCCCAAAGCCCAAGGCCTCTTCCAAAGACAAACACACACAGACCTGTTGTTACACTATCCGGTGGCTTGCTTTGACCTTCACCTCTCTGACACCCACAATGCACCCACAGCAACAGACAGACCCTTTGTCTTAAGCACCATGTTTTTACACCTCTTAACAACTTGAACAGCTAGAGACAATAAACCTTTACATCTTTGTCCAAGACAGTAAGGCAAACCCAATATGCACTGAGATAAACTGGGCTTTGCAATTTCTTAGAATTTTAATAAAGGTTTAGATGTGGCAGTTCAGGAGGACTAACTGTTGTAGAAGAGTAACAGATGGGACAATAGACCATTAAGAAAAAGAAAGAACATGTCATAGCTCCACCATGTCCTGGAGTTTTTCTATGACGATCTGCATGGCTGCCAGTCTCACAACTCCAGCCCCTTTTTCCTACCCAACCTGTCTGCCTCCTACAACTTGCTGCACCCTCTTCCGCTTGCCCAATCACTCTCCAATTTACAACATATCCCTCTACAGTCACTCTGGCAGCTTACACACCCCTTCAGTCTTCAGCTTTCTTCATCTGCAAAACGAAACTAAAAACAACATTCCCTTCCCGCGCATTGCTACATGGGTTTAATCAAATACTGTGAAAGGCTGATGGCGCAGTGCCTAGCACAGGGGAAGCCCTCAAGGAGCAGTAGCTTCTTCTGATGGTGTTGTTTCATTAGCATTATCGTTGCTACTATAGCTCAAAAAACCTATCTAGAGTTCACATAGACCATGAATGAGCCTGGGAGTCACAATGTTCGCAGTCTAGACCACGTAGGAGTGCAGAGAACCTCTTCCCACTGGCGTTTGTCACACTCTCCTTAATACACTCCCTCCATCCCTCCCTTTGCATGAATCTTCATTGGTCTGGTGCTTGGCTTGCATTGCAAGCACCTGTAATAAGAAAGCATTCACTGTGTTGGGAGTTAGGAATCCACAAGATAAATAGGTAAGACATGAAACCAATTTTTCACACACTCCTCAGAGCTCAAAGACATGCCTGTCTGGTGCTGCTGTGGCCTCCTAAGGAGGCTTCCTCCTCCACCTTTTCCCAAGGTGAAGCTGAACCAGCCATGACTCTCCCCAGTGCAAAGAGAAATGACAGGAGAACTGACCATGAACACCTCACAGGGCTGTCAGTGCAAAAACAAATGTCTAAACTGAAAGGTCAGCTTTGTGGAAATGGTGGTGGGCTTGCTGGTGCCAGCTGAGAATGCATACTGTGGTTAGAGAGTAAACTGCTCTTTATGTTCACACCCAGCCCGAAGCAAAGTCACAGTGCAGAGAGTGCACAGTGCACAGAGTACAGAACGTGGCTGGTTCAGGCCCCCTGCGCTGAGCACAGATGACTCTGGAGCATCAGAAAGGACTAATATCTCAGCCCTGGACCTCAGCAATGGCTCTCTGCATGCTGGGAGACCATTTTGGAGAAATGGGCTGCAGTGTGTCCAAGAAGCATCTCCCTCCAGGGCAAAATCAAATCCTGGATCTCCAGGTCACCTGCAGGGCAGCGGTCACCTGTCTTCCAGAGAATTTGAGGAAAGGAAAAGGTTTCTTTTTGCTAAGTGAAATCCATCTCAATGGTAAAGAGAAGGCAAAAGGATGAGTTCATGAGGGATCCAAATCAAGCTCGGAATAGGCTATGCTGCCCTTGACCCAGAAATGATGACAGCAGTTGACCAAGCAAGGGATACTTACCATGTTCCAGGCACTGTACCAGCACCTTATACACATCATAGCATGCCATCCTTCCCATAGCCTCCTGACAACCTCTCATTAGCACCAGCTTACAAATTAGAGGTGGGGGGTGGTGATATGACATATTCATCCCAGCTCCTGGGGAGGAGATCTGATTGCAGACCCTGTGTCATGAGACACACAATCCTAACACTGGAATACACTTCCCAAATGATCCACTGGGTGTCCCGTTTGTGCAGCATGTCTACTCTCTGCTCCTTCCACTCGTCTTCCCTTTCTGCCATCAGCACGCGCCTGCAGCTGTCATCATAGCTTTCCACAGCAAGCAGAAGCTCTGAACCTCCCTGCCCACCCCTTTCCCTCCTCCCTCTCATTGTCCCAGCCCTCATGTTTCTCCATTTCTGTCTTTGGCTTTCATTTCCTCTCTTGAGTTTTGCTTCTTTTCTCTCTGCTTCTTACTGAAAAGCTGTCTCTCTTCTTCACTCTGTCTCTGAAAGAGTGATAGGGATATGTGTGTGTGTGTGTGTGAGAGAGAGAGAGAGAGAAAGAGAGAGAGGAGGCAGTATTATCTTCTTGCCATACCCACACCCCCCATCCACACAACATTCAGCTAGCCAGTTATTTGCAGCCAGCATCAGCAAACAGCACTAAAAATAGAATTAGGTCACCTCTCAAAGATCCCGAGAGAACGTGATTGAAGTCAAATTAGGAAAGCACTGAACTCTCATGGGCTACCAGGGCACTGCTTCGCCAGCCCTGCCCAGACCTCTGTCCGCTGCCCGGCTGCTGACATCTTTGTCCTCTTGTCCCCCAGATGGATCCCTACAGAGGCCTGCTCAGTCTGGGGTCCCCACTGTTGTGGTGGGCTCCTTCAGGCGCAGCCCCACCATGGTGGTACAACCTCAGCAGCTCCAGTTCTATCAGCCACAGGGAGTCCCCTCTGCCCCTTCAGCAGTGCCAGAGATGGGACCCAAGTCCACTCCTGTCGGGGAGCCTGGCCTCACGGGCATCAGCAGAGGCAGTGACAGCAGGGTTCACTCAGCAGCTAGCTCCCTCATCATGGAAGGCAAGGAGGTCCCCGTCAAGAGTGAGCCTCTGCCGAAACCACCTGCATCCGCCCCGCCATCTGCCCCGCCATCGATCCTGGTGAAACCAGAAAACTCAAGAAATGGCATCGAGAAGGTAGGAGGGGTTTCGGTCGCCTGACTCTGCATGATGTCCCAGCCCCCAGAGACTTCAGTGTTGGTGGAAAAAGCATCAAAACAGCATCCTCAATTGAACCCTCACACGCATCTCCACATGCACACATCCGTTCTCCCTAGACCCATGACTGACTCTCCATTATGCTTTCCATGCATATTACATGAAGTATAGTTTTCACATCAGACACATCTTGATTTGAATTCCAGCTCAGCTGCTTGCAGCCTGAGCCACTTCAACCAGCTCCCTTCACCCCTCAGAGACTGTTTTTTTGCCTAATTTGTTAAATGGGGCTAAGAATAGTAATGGACACACAAGACTGAGGTGGAGATTACATGAAAAGATATATCAAGTGCTTACATAGGGTTTGAGACATAATTATTCATTGTATAAAAGAAACAACTAAGACTTCTAGGCCCCAGGGCTCTCTTTTGGGAACAAAGATCTTTGAATATCCTTGAAGAAGCAGAGATGGTGGAAAGGAGGATACTCATTGTCCCCTTTTAGTTTATTAAACATAACTAACATCACGATTACCTTCACCATCACCACCATCATAAGCACTACTATTACCATCATCACACCACTAGCTCCTGCCCCACCACTGCCAGCAGCGGGACCATTACCACCAACAACTACCACCATCATCACCACCATCACTACCATCACACAGTTACCTCCGTCACCACTGTTAGTACTCCCATTATCATCATCACACTAACAACACTATCACCAACAAAACCACTACCAGCATCATGACCACAATCCCACAGTCACAAACACCCAGGGGCTGTGGGTTCCTCTTTGATAAGGATTTACTAAATAATAACAACCTGGCAGACCCTGTGCCAAAAACTTCACATGCCATGTTTAGTCCTAACAATGCCTGATGCTGGCATTATTTTCTTCTTCATTTTAAAATGAGGAGATGGAGGCTCAGGGCTCTAGTGAATATCACCCAAAGCCATTGAGCTGACATACATGAATTTCCTGAACAGATACAAAAATTCATGCTCATACTGTTAAGCCATAAACTGTAGAAAAAGGCATCTGGAAATTAGCTTACTTATACAAATGTGGAAATTCTTAGTCCATATCATATACAAACCAAAGGTTTCTAGGCCCCAGTTGCCATTTCTTTGAGCTTTTAAAGTACTTAATGAATGCTCAGACCTTAACTAGAAATGGGCAGGGTGAATATGTATGCATAATCGTGGATCCTCAGTGAGAGACACAAGGATTGACTTTATGGAAAAAATAGTCATTCTTCAGCAGTGTCACAGAACACTTCATTCAGGCCTAAGACAGGGATTGGCCAAGGCAGGAAGCCATGCATTGCTTAACAATTGGGGAACTTTCGGAGAAATACGTCATCAGGTGATTTCATCTTTGTGCAGACACCAGAGCATGTATTTATGCAGAGTAAGACAGCGATGCTCTCCCTAAGCCATGCAGGCTTATGGGACCATGCTCACGTAGTTGGTCCATGCTTAACTGAAACACTTAGGCAGCACAGAACTGCATCTCTAGGCAGCAGGCTGGAAGAGGAAGAAGAGATGATGATCACTCAGCAAGGGTCTATTCCTTGGCTCCTGTCCATCCAGCATTGCCAGGATGGGACACTGGCCTACATGGCCAGATCCTTGATTTTCATATGTTAACCCCCAATTTTTAGGCATTGGCAAGTAAAACAAACCCTTGAGCATTCTGTATGCTACACTCAGCCAGCTGGTTTCCAGTCTGCAAACTGCTCTGAAGACTTAAAAGGCCAATAGAGAATTCTCTAAATGAAATCAAAGGAGGGGGTCTTAATGCACACACAGGACTTGGGATAAGCCTTCATGGCTGGCAGAGAGGAGATGAATTTTTATTTTCTAGAAAGGGTCTTACTCTCTCCATAGGCCAGTTCCTCCCCAGTTTCCTGAATAATTGCTCATCATTCCTCAGTTCTCAGTTTAAGTATCTCTTCCTTGAGGAGGGCCCCCTGGACTTCCCCACCCCAGCTGGAGTTGGACAGTCCCCAGCATTCTCCCCCATCAATCACTTGTAGTCACTGTCAGGGCAGCTTTGCTCACTCTGGATTCACAGCACCTCACAGCATGTGATGCTTACTAGACACTCATACCAGACACAAATATTTGCTGAATAAATACACAACGTGGCATTTCAAGTGGGGACACATATGGAGAAAAGGTGCCATGCAAGTCCCAGATGGGAAACAACACTCGCCCACTTCCCCCCACCCCACTGCCTACCCAACTCACCTGCGTTCCTTCGCTGTCCTTTCTCTTGCAGCAAGTCAAAACCGTGAGATTTCAGAACTACAGCCCTCCTCCCACCAAACATTACACCTCCCAACCCACCTCCGGCAAGCCTGAACAGCCAGCTACCCTCAAGGGGCCCCAGCTTGAAGCAGCCTCCTCGAGCCCGGAAATGACCGTCCTATTCGCCCATCGAAGCGGCTGCCACTCAGGCCAACAGACAGACCTCCGGAGAAAGCCACCATTTGGCAAGGCTGTGACCCCAGTGCCCACTTCCTCAACCACGCAGACCATGTTTCCCAGCAAATGAAATCTACAGGTGGCCTTTTCCTAGACCCCAAAGAGGTGAATTGCATTTAAATACAGTCTGCCTCCACAGGGGGTGTCCTGTCAGTCTTTGGGGTCTTGGGCATGGTCCTTATGCTGCATCTTTTACCAGCCCATCCTCCCACCTCTGTGACAGAAAAGGTACCAGCAGGAATTCCTGCCCTTGGTGAGAGGGCAGATCAGCTGACCCTCCAAACATAAGGACTTAGTTCAAGAAGGTTCAGCACTCAGACTAAGCAGCGAGAGCACTTGGTTCTGCAGCCTCTTGTCCCTTGTCCTCTATGTAGAGCTGCTGTGGCGGCCTACTGGGATTTCAGCCAGAAGCGTGACCACGGCAGGAGGGTTGTCATTGCTACTTTGACCTTATCACCCTATTAGAACAGCCTCTGTCATCTTCCGGGGCCTGACCATCACCCTGTTTCCCTCCAGAGTCACCATCCTGATCGCCAAAGGAAAATCTCCTGGCTGGGGATACAGTAGATAGCTGGAACTTTCTAAGAACTAAAGCTAAAAGCAGGCAACTTGTCACAGGCAGCTTGTCCAGTTTCTCTAGACAAGAAGGTCAGAAAAGAGGTTGGCCACACCAAGTATCAACCAACAACCATGCTCCAAACTTCTCTATCTGTTTTCCCATGTATCATTCTGCAAAATAAACAGGCAGGACTCCTACAGGTGCAAGGGGCTGTGGAGGGTATTACAGACAATGAATTCACCCTTCCCCTAGCACACAGGGCACGCTTAGAAACAATCTGGGCTAGGGCTTGAGTTTAAGATCTGTTTGTCCAGCATCATTATTTTCTCTGGCCTCTTCTTACCAGGGACATACCTGTTGTTTTACTGATGAGGCAACAGTATCCAAAGCTGCAGGGGAAAGCACTTCCTAAGGAAGAAGCTGCCATAAAAGAGGCTTGATAAGGAAGGTTATAGAAGAAAATAAGTAAGAGGGAAACTGAAAAAAAAACTACAAAAAACTATGAAAGGCCTGAGCATCAGAGGGAAGATAGGGGATTCAAGAAAGCATCAGTCAAGAAGGCAAAAGCAGCAGGCTGGGAGGGGACAACCTTGTCAATCCCGGCAGGTGGGAAAAGAAAACAGGGCCTGTAATGGAGATGGGGGCAAAACCAAAGGACAAGGGCAAGGACAAGGACAAGGACTGCACCAAGGGGACAAGAACAGAAACAGCCAGGCAGAGCCACATAAGCATCCGGGGGACCCAAGACCATGTTATAAAGCAACCCATTAATCCTCATTACACTTAATTGTTGGGATCTAACATTTACTGCATGCCCATCAGTGAGAGCATGCGGACTCATAAAAATACAGCGAAGTTTAATTAGGTCTTTCCCCTCAACAGTTAAGGTGCTGGGATTTGGAACACACATCTTTTTTACATACCTACCCACACATTTGTCAAACTGAATTGTTCACAGACTTTTCTAGTCCTTAATAAAAGCATCATCTTGCTGAGGAATAGTGCACATGTGTCGGACTTTTGGTGTGGGACAGCCAATACAGACGCGTGTTGTTCTAGCATTTCTAAAAGATTACTCGCTCATTTCTACTCCTCCAAACTGACCAGGCCAACTCCATGTCCCATGAATATCAGTAGGATAATCCACATGGAAAACGGAATAAAGTCACAATTATGGGAAAGCGTTGAATGAATTGTCAAAATCTGAGTACCTTGGCCTTTTTACCCACAAAGCACTCAGAGTGAGTTTAGCAGTCTACACTCAGCGTGGCAGAGAAAGGACAGGATTAGCAAACGAAATACACCTCAGTAGCAATGGTTCCAGCTCCTTTTTAAACTTTGTTGGCTAACAACAGGTTGCTGAGTGTAATGGAGACAGCAAGCAAGCCTTCCAGATGACACTGAAAAGGCTTCCCATCGTCCTCTTTCTTTGAGAGAACCTATCTGAGCAAAGTAAATAAATCCAAGACTTGCCACCCCACCCTTTGATGCCCATCCAGCCTCTTCACTCATGGGTAGCAGCAGATTCATTTCTTTCTACATCACATCTAATTTATGTAGAGTTTTTATCAGAGTTTGAAAAGGATGTCTCCAAGTCAAAGCCGACTTCGCTAGCACCTTTAACTCATTTATTCTACCAGCATGCTAGGCACAGCAATGAGGACAACAGACACAGCCTTCCCCATCATTTCAACCATAATATTATTGAGCAAGTGTAACTGTCCCCATTCCAGAGCCAAGAAAGTCAAGGCTTGGAGGCTAACCACCAGATACTACCCAAGACAGGAAGTGGACTCGAGCTCTCTGACTTCAAAGCCCACTGTAGGACTGTGCCACATGAACCAAAAGACCATTCTTGACTTCAGCACACTGCCTCCAGACTGCCAGGAAGCAACACAGCACAATTTTGTTGCAAATGCTTGGTACAATCTGGTTTCAGATATGAAACACCCAGTAAGATCTAGTGCATGCAAACCAAGTTCAAATCCACATTTACTGTTTTCTGGCCCTCTAATGCCACACAAATTAGCCTCTGGGATCCTTACCTTATTTCCTTAAACAGGAGTGGTAACAGTGCCAACCTCACTCGGCTACTGTGAGGATTAGCTGAGATAATAGTATAGAGTTGCTTAATGTCAGCATTAAGTGAACATTTGACACTTGTTAGGCTTGGATGCTTTCAAGAAAACAGGCCACTGCAATTTCCCAGGACCGTGGTGGTAAAAATAAGACCTCATATGGCTTAGCCTCAAAGTCAATATATCCTAAGCCATAAATGGCTCGTGGGAGATGAGCACCTCACGAAGGTAGAAAGTTTTAACTAGCAAAGTTGCTCAGATATCCCTAGTAGAATGGCTGTCCCTCAGGGCCTAGAATTCCACCCTGCTGGGGCTACACGCCTCAGCCAAAACTCAGGTAGTCCCTATGAAAGCTTGCGCTGTGCCCCTGGTCCCACCCTGGCACCTGCTTGTTGGGAAGGCTCTGAGGGTAGCACTGGACTAGAGGAAGCAGAGGGACAACCAAGGGCCCAAGGCTGCAAACAGGCTGAAGAACCACCGTGGAGCAAGGGTCCCATCAAGCAACTCTGGGATTCTCTCTGAGAACCTGTCTCTTTCCTTCCCATCTGTGGAACCAGCCTCACCTTGTCCACCCTTCATGCCTCCCATAGGTAGGCTTTGCAACAGGAAGAAAGTAAAGCAATGCCCCACCGGGGACTGGTGAGACACAGGGGTGCAGGGACTCAGTACCTGTTTGCAGGCTTCTCACGTCTCTGCAAAGTCAGCGGATCTATCCCCAGCAACCCTGGGGAGCTGCAGCAGGATCGAGGCGGCTTCAATGAAGCAGATGTGCACCATTCACTTTGCTGTGGCGTCACTGACTTCACTCACACGGCTGTGGCTGAATTCAACATTCCCCTAGCAGCTTTGTGCAGGTCTCCATCTCTCCTTGAGTCAGCATCAACCTGTCCACAGTCCAAGCTTAATCCTTAGAGGTCAGCAGATCCTAGATGCTCAGTCCTCGCCAGTGCAGTGAACCTGGCCCGAGTCCTAGTTCGGCAATCAAGCTCCCAAAAGGTTTCCGAAGCATGTGAAGTGTGAGGATCTCATCCACCTGTCCCATAGTGTAGCCCGGAGCTGACATTCAACTCTGACACTCAGCAGGAATGTGGCCGCTGTACATTGGTAGCACACTGAAACAGATCTGTTCAGGAGTCAATAGCAGATACTCTGAGCTCTTGAGGTGTCTCCTTCTCCCACACCTTGACCCTTCTCCCAGGTTCTCCCCATCACTCTATTGTTCAGTAACTAAAAGGCATGAGCAAGGGCACAGCTGAAACCTCTCGTAATCAAGCCCATTTTATTTTGATTGGCAAGTATCTCTTGTTGCTAAACATCTTAACTGTTGCCCTACAGTACAGAGTAGCCCTGGAGAGGCCACTCTGAGGTTAAGAGCACGGCTAGCAAATCTGGGTCTTAGCCTCATCCTGGCCACTGTCCAGCCTTTGACAATCACCTTGGCTGTGTTCTTGGCCTAGAACGGTAGCTGACTGGGAGGTAGGGCAAGCCCTTACTTGCTCGTCTGACTCTTTCAGGGAATACTTTCCTAGCCAATAGCAATACCTGGGAGCATTGTGGCACCTCTAGCATCAGTTCAAACAGAAATCACCTGTCTGAATTAGAAGAGCAAGTAGACATGCTCTTTCTCTCTGACCACTCGGGCCAGCCACACACCTATGCACGCCTTCTCAAGGAGTCAACAGCTGTGAAAGCAGACTAGCAAGATCCTCTCAAGTCTTTCCAGCTGAGAACCATTGCCTAGCAAGCTGACCCAGGGCAAGGCCAGAGCCAGCAGCTGCTGCCACTGATGTTCCTGTGGTCTCAGATTGAAGGATAAGAACGCAGTCTTCCCTTTGGGCTAGAAGAAGAGGCTGAAAGTAATCCCAGCAACCTCTCAGGTGACCAGGAAAGACAGTACCTTAAGGAACATGTATGGGAGGCACAACCAAGCCAGATAAATTAACTCCAAACATCCTTAGAGCAGGTTGGTGTCCTTGGGAATAGGTCATGCCAGCACGTTTTGCTTGAGATACAGCAGTGTTAAATGATCAAGCCGTCTGTTTGGCAGCATTATGTTCTCAACCAGAACAAAGACAAAATGTTCCCAGGAGGCCCTCTGCCCACATATCTACACTTTAACAAACAGAAAGGAGCAGAGATGAGATCCAAAAGATGCTTTCAAATTCAAAGGCAGCAGGGGCAAGGTTGGGGCATGGGGAAGCATGATCGGTCCCACCCTTCATTCATTCATTCATTCATTCATTCATTCATCGTTCAGTACTTACCCATCAACCACTGTGGATCAGGCTCTGAGCGAAATAGGGTGCAGTGGTTTACAGAATAGATAAAAATAGATACAACCCTCCTTGAGGAATATTTCTCTTTTTAAGATGTATTTATTCATTTGAAAGGCAGTCACACACAGATAGAGGGGAAGACACAAAGAGAAAAAGATCTTCCATCAACTGGTTCACTCCCCAAATGGCCACAAAGACCAGAGCTGGGATGGTCTGAAGCTAGGAGCCTGGAGTTTCTTCTAGGTCTACCGTGTGGATACAGGGGCACAAGCAGTTTGGCCATCCTCTGCTGCTTTTCCAGCATATTAGCAGCGAGCTGGATCAGAAATGGAGAGGCTGGGACTTGAACCTGCACTCTTATGGGATACCAGCATCTCAGGCAGCAGTTTTACTCACTATATCACACAGTCTGCCCCATTTGTTTTTTACTGATTTTTCTCTGGATTTGGGACTCCTTTGTGCTATTTTCTCCTTTTTTACTACCAAATGTTTCATATGAACAGATATAAATGTGTAGTTATATGGAATCATCAATAACCATATACCACAATCCAGCTTTGTAAATTTTATTTATCTACTTGAAAGGTAGAGCAATAAATAGAGAATCCCCAAACACCCACAACAGCCAGAGCTGGGACAGGCTGAAATTAGGATCTCAGATCCCATCCTGGTTTCCCACACTGGTCCCAGGGTCCCAAGCAATTGAGCCAAAATCTACCATTTTCCCAGGAAGCATTAAAAGCAAATTGGATCAAAAGCAGAACAGCCAAGACTCAAAACAGCATTCAGACACGGAATATAAGCTTCCCACTGTTTACCACAACACTTATCCTTATCCAGTTTTCAAAAGAGTAATAAGCATCAATACTGAAGCAAAGAGCACAGAGAGCCTCTGCCTGCAACTCCAGCATCCCATACAGGTGCTGGTTCAGGTTCCGGCTGCTCCACTCCTGGTCCACTAGCTCCACTAGCTCCCTGCTAATGTGCCTGAGAAGGCAGCAGAATATGGCCCAAGTGTTTGGGCACTCACCACCCACATGGAAGATACAGGTTATACTCCAAGGCTCCTGGCCCAGCTCTGACCATTGCAGCCATTTGGGGAGTGAATGGAAGAGCTCTGTGTCTCCTCTCTGTAGCTCTGACTTGCAAATAAACAAAACAAACCTTTAAAAAGAAAAGTTTTAAAAACTGACGCCCATTTTGTGCCTCTTTCAGTCCAACTCCTTTCTTCCTTTTCTCCCAAATTCTGCTGACAGTCACTATTGTAAATTCCATGCTGATCCTTCCCCCTTGTAATTTTCCCACACTTGGACCCTGCGGAATCTTCAGCGCAGCTCACAGAGGCGCTGGGTAAACACTACTAAAGCAGCCAGTGCTACCTTAGGCCATAGCACTGGCTTGGTATTTTAGCTCTCATCTGGCTTCTGTCTTTGGGATTCTAAGGCATGTTCTTACTGTTGGAAAGAGATTCAGAGGTACCTGCAAGGCAGGTTTGGAGAGGCTTGAAGGTAGTTTTAGGGGAATTCTTCCAAACATTGCTGTTTGGGGAAGACCTCGTTGCTTCTGAATGGGGAAAGAAGAGCTGTGACTATGTCCAAATGCTCCAAGAACAGGACTCTTTTGGCAGCTCTCCTCTAGGCCTTGCCTGGCATCCCTGGGTAGCTGACTATAGAAACCAAAAGCAGCTCCTAAAACTCAGAAACGTAAAGAGAGGTCACTGCTGCTATTGCCATCGGTAAATGTTCGTAGGAAGCTTGTGAGCCATGCAGGGGAAAGCTATTTCTGTCCCCAGACTACAGAAGACCAAGGCCCTGGATGTTCAAATTC